ATTGAATTAATGTATGTGTTTAAGAGGATTTTTTGCATAAATTTAATACTTATAAGAGCTTTAAAACTTTAAACTTCTATTACAAATTTGAAAAATCATGTAATAACTGAAAATTTAGATTTTAAAATTAGAAAGATTATTTTTATTTATTTTAGTGTTAACTTTGGAAAGAAGTTTCGGTACTTTTATTTTCACTGAATATATTCAATTATCATTTCGTATAAAACTTTGTAAAATGCTTTTGAATTAATGAACGGGTTTTGAGATGTGAGACAAATGAATAAAATTCTAATTAATTATTTCATAGAAGAACTCAAAAACAACACAAATAGCCATTCAATTGCCAAAGAGTTTTAGTGATGTTGAGGGAAAGGGATGCCGTTTCACAACACATACATAAAAGATATGTAAATAAATTAGTTTCAATCCAAATAAAATTATGTCATATACTTGTAATAGCCGTTCATAAATATATATGTACGTTTAATACTGCTATCAACTGGATTATTACTGGGCATTTGAGTTTAATAAAACTTTGGAAACTTTTTAATTCTTTAAGATATGAAATTGTTTTGAGATAATAATAATAATCTATTTATTAATTATAATGGTTGTATATTTAATGATAGAGTCTAATATTTTAATAAATTGAAAAAGTATTGATTAGATGATTATTTTATTTTCATTTAAATATATTTATAACAACATATAGTTGTCACAGAATGTCATTGATTTATACGCTATTCCATACACATTACACGCCACCTATGGTTATGGGATTAAAGAATATTCTTGATATATATATATATATATATATATATTGAGAAATATATATAAGTTTCTATTTATAGTGTATCAAACGTCATATGATTTATATTTGGAGATGTTTTTATTACAACAAAGAAAACAATCATTAGTTTTAATAAAAGAAACAAACAATAAGTCAATAGTTATTAAAAACAACAAAAACAAAATCATTAAAAACAGAAATACTATGATTCGTGTATTAATGAAAAATATTATAGTTTATTTCGTACAAATAATGATTAATTTATTACAATAAAAAATATATATAATTAACTAAACAATAATTTTCTACTCATTAATAATAACTTTCCTAAAAACGCCTAAACCTTCTCATTCTTCCAGTGATTCAAATTCATGTGAGATATTTGCGAGCAATCCATCAAACGGTTGCTAAAAGGTTTCGAAATAAACAAGCAAAACACCAAAAAATACATAATCTCATAAATCACCAAGTCAAGAACTAAAAATTGAATTAATTAATTACCCATTAATAGGCTGCACGAACGCTAAGGGCTGGAAGTATTGGACGTCATCGCCATTCGCACATATAATGCTCGTTAGACTCACTTTTCGGATCTCATATATTTGTGCTGTTTATGCGGATAAACACACGAAAGCATAACAAATGATAATTTTTTAAACTCTAATCTAATTATAATGAGAAAGCAACTAATTGTATTAAATTGATTGCAAACCTTCAGTGAACGAGTGACTGAAACCAAAGTTTTCAAACCAGAAGCGGTCGCCCTCTGAAAACACGAAAATGAAAATCAAACTCATTATAAGGTTTAGTGTCTAATATTGTGGTACCTTTTGATCGTCTGAACTGTTCAGCGAAAATACAGGCAAACACTGGTCCGAGGATACCCTCCTTAACCGGCTTCTCGTGAATGCCGCCCATAAACAGGTCGATGTCGTCAACACTTTTATACAATTTGGCAAAATTGCTGCCGATTCCGCTGCGAAACGCACGATCCAAGTCATCAAAGCTAGTTAACCTTGGTAAACCACAGATCTCTCGCATCTTGTTATAAGGAGGCAGCCCGTGATCCCTACCCCTATGGATATTAGTGGCGATTAAGTCGCCACCGAATAAGCCGTTTGGCGGCCGAAACAACTGATGCTTTAGCTGTAAATCAATCACAAAACATATGTCAATTATATCAAGAATTTAGTTTAAGTTTTCAATATTTATGTATAGAATCAGTGAAAAAGACTTAAAAATAAAATAATAATTATTTCGAGAATATTCTTCACTAACTTCTTCGGTGACTATACTATCGAATTGCTGCGAAGCCTGTACTGCCGTCCCATAGAGCACCTCATCGACAGCACCGGCTTTATAAAGAGGTGACGGGTCGTTGAATATATTGCGGAGTTGCAGGTGTGATGTATACTCCCCTTCCGAGTCCAGTAAATGGTAAAAACTCTTGAAACAGTAAATTCAGATAATAATTAGAACATTGAATAAAACTTTTATTTCCACCAAATATCTCAATACCCGGACCAATGTATGCCATCTGAAGGCTGCCGTTGCAAACTCGTTCATAACCCCCGGGTTAGAATAGTCTTTGTATTTGTTGGAGTAGCCCCAGGGGCTCGGGAACAGGTCAAACACTTGCATCGCACGGCGACCTAAACAGATGTGTTTGTATAGGAAAAATAAATTGAATTTATAGCCACTTATAAACCTATAGCCAGGGGTAGGAACTCGTTGTATGTAATCCACTGGAGTTGAGCGCCGATTATTCTGCGGGTCTCTTCAAACAGTATATCATCGGTCCATCCTTTTCATAGACATAGACACCAATTGTTATTCAATAATCAATGACATGTTATATAATAATAATTTTATTAATACTTGGATTTAGAGACTTTAGTATGTCTGCAATTCTGTTGTGCTCTCTATACAAGTAAATAGAAATTTAATATTACTTTACTAATTAGAATAAATATTAATTGAATAGAAATTCTTTATTATTAAGTTTAGACACATGTATGGGTTAGAGAGGCTTACCTCAAGAATATCAATTGAAGTATAATTAGACCCAATTGTTGGTTCACTCTTATATCGCCTTTTCATACAAAAATGTATCAAATATTTGAGTAAATTTTTTTCTAACTATTGCTGGCATACCGGCGTAAATACAGTGCTGTCCTTCAGGTGCTCTGCAAACAACTGACAGTCCTTTCGTGTCAAACGGCAAGAATTGTTTGCCATTTATTATGGATACTTTAAGTTTACCTAAAAAATCAATACTAATGTTTTGAGATATTGTTTTTTGAGTTTAAAAATATCAAAATCAATGAATCGATACCATCTTTGAAGGCACGGACAGCCTTCATCCTGTCCTCATTGCTGCCGTATATCTGTGAGCCATCGATGAAGTGAGTGACAGCACCGGCCTGTTCT